CCAAAACATACACACAACCATTTCTTCAACTGGAAATCGTAAAAATCCCCCAATCTATCATTCAACATGTCTGCACCCAAAATCGGGACCGCGGATTATCTCACTTGGGTACATCATAGAAACACGGTGCATTATTGTCAACACGATCATGAACGAAGTAGATGGGGGAAAACTCCGTGCGATCTGGTCCGTTGGACCAGAGAACGAGGCCAACGAATTCGTATTACTGATATCGATGGATAAACACTCTTGGCTGCAGACTGATAACACTGGCAAGACTTGTTCGGCAGACTTTCTAAGTAAGGCAATCACGGTGCGCCTGCTTTGGGGACATGCGGTGCATGAGTGATTGAGGCTGCGCTGCCCCACTTTCTAAATCCGCGAAACTTCCAAATCGCTGCATCCTAGGCGCCACGCAAACCCAGCAGGGAACACCTTTTAGTCGACTTTTCTTTTTGATGCCGCAAATTTAGAGTAAATCACGGAATGGGAATGTATTAGTTTCTACATGTGTTAGTCTAAAATTACTCTTTTTTTAGGTTTTACTTTCTAAGGAAGTTATTGAACTGTAAAAGAAGAATGTACGGGTGATTATGTGCGTGTGTTATTTCTGCACTTGTTTTTCAACAGGTTGTTATTTATGAGCATTGTTTATGTTCCTGGTGGCCAAGGGTAGGGTGACTGTTCGTTTTGAAAGATAATACCCTTGTGTGTGAAGCATTAGGAATTTTTATCACAAAAGACATAAAATTCTATGTTTTATATTTTGTAATTTTAAAAAAACAACATGGTATTTTTTTTCTCTGTAATTTGCTTCTAATACATCTTTCTATTTACAACAATAAAAAAATGGACATAATTCAATGTGAAACATATAATGAAATTTAAAAAATGTAATGTAGAGGTGAGAAATATAAAGTTTTTATTGTGGAAGATTTTATTCTTTTGATGGGTGTCGCAGCACAAAAATTCATGCTATTCTATTTATGTCCTTAAAATCTTTTATCCCATAATATTAGAATATCATATTAAAAATGGTACAATAAATTAATTTTTCAAAGAACTTGTAAAAATTCCTAATGTGTAGATTATGTACATATATACTTGTTTCATAGTATTTTTTTTATTTAAATGTAGAACAAAGAATAGCCCCAATATTTTAAAAAGATGCTGACTCAATAAATATATATATATATATATATATATATATATATAAAGCTGATTAAGGTTATTTTGATTTTTTTAAGTAATAACTAGTGTTATCTATTAAATTAGTTATAACTATTATTTCTACTTGCATTGTATGCAAATAGAAGAATCTCATGACATCTATTTTGCAAGTTGTATTTTTCTTCAAAGTATCTTTAAAATTACGTAATTAATACTATTAAATGTGTTTTTTATTTACAAAAAAAATACATAATATAATGCATAATTTAAGTTAATTGAATTCAATATTTAGCTACACATTCATCTTGTTACATCAAATCAATCTTGACAATTTATTTCAAAAAGATCTATTCATGTTTCATATTTCTATGTGTATAAAAATTTATGATTTCTTATACAATTTACACATGCATGCACAGAGATACTTCCATGATCCATGTGCTTTTTCTTCTTTTGACAAATGAGTGTGAGTTTTGGGGGAATATTTTTATACTTGATTATTCTCATAAAAACATCTAAACTCCAAAAATCATATAAGAAATTTTTTCTTCTACAACTTTTTGACTAGACTATAAAACAATAGTAAAGAACAAACCTCAAAAAGCTCTATTTTATTTTTTCTTCTACCTGTTCTTTGGGTGCTTATTGTGAACATATTGAACAACCTTTTAAAGTTCTATCAATTTTATAATGAAAGTTTTTTTTTTTTTTTTTTTTTTTTTTTTTGTTATGGAGGAAAGTGGTCCTTCTCCACTCATCTTATGTAAAGGTCAGAATATCCCTTTGAGTTGCCTCTTACTTGCATCTTTTGATAGATTTTTGTAGAGATAATTCAAGTTGAATTTAAAGTTTGTTGGATTGAATTTTCAGGGTTGGAACACAACGATTGGTGGAAAGTCATTGCAATGATCCTGGTTGTCGTCATTTGGTAGGCCACTGCACAAAAAAATGGTGCTTATCCAGTTGCACATATTATATTTTAGTTTTAAAAATTAACAGAAGTGAGTGCACAATAGCTTGAAGATGATCCAAATTCTTCAATAGTTGAATACACTAAAACGAACTTTTGCAACATGCGGTATTTCTTCCATCCCACTTTATTTATGAATAAATTAAATGCAGCTGAAATCAATCTTATGGAGTCAAGTTAAATTGACTTCAAGAAGAATCATATGGTTTTGACTTATTAGTCACATTTCATGATACTTTAGGAGATTTAAATTATTAATAAAATTACTATTATTACCATTCATGACTCAAAGTACTTCTAAATTGAATGAATATCCTCATTATTAATTGGATTAATAATTTTATGGTGCTTCTAATGCTGCTTCTTCAATTATATATATATATATATATATCTATATACATACATGCATATGTATATTAGTCAAAATAATATATATATATATATATATATACATACATATGTATGTATATTAGTCAAAACAATAAGGATTTTGGCAATATCTCAAGATCCGTAATGAATTTGCAGTTGAAATTTGTTTTAGTAGTTGTTGAAAGTATATTAGTACGTTATGTAAAATTTTAGTTTGTTTGAATGGTTAGATCATGAGATATGAACTATTGAAGTTTGGAAAAAAAATCTCATAAAGATATATAAGGTTTTAAGATATTTTATCATATATTTGGGTATTGTTTTATACTTAACCTTATGTTTTGATGTAATTTCCCTAAAGGGAAAATATTGTATATATAAACTTGGAACTTTAATATTTTAGACATGATTTAGCATTTGGTGGCAACCAAAAATCCATCACTTTCTTAAAGCAAACTCTCTCTATCCCAATAGCAGTGTTTTGATATAACATGGCTAATAGGTTAAAGAATAAAGAAAATATTATATTTTAGAAGATCTTATCTCAAAATATTATAGCAAATTATCTTAGAAATATAGATAATAGTCAAAGGATATTAAATTAAAAGTAAAAATACTATCTTTTTGCAAAGTAGGCTCTATTTACTTTATAGGAGGGAATTATGAGTTGATTTTAGCAAACATTATCTCAAGAAGACAAAAATTGATACCTAGAAAAGACTGATTGTTAATCTAAGTTGAAATCTGATCCCAAGGCACAAAACTGCATACCTATGAGGATTCTAAGGATTTTTTGTAAATCAAAAAAATGATTTGGAAGAAGATTTTATATAATTTTTTAGAACATTGATTTTAAGTAATTTGATTTTGTAATGACTTTGTAAGAGCTTCGCAAAGTTAAGGTTGTTTTGGATGATTCTGGATTTTATAAAATAAAATGGGATTTATAATTTGGATAATTTTGTAAGTTTTGGTAGAGATCTATAAGTGAAGTTTTGTAGAATTATGAGTATAGTTTTGTCAAATGTGTGTTGTAAATTTGAGCTTAATTAGACAATTGGATTGGAGGTTATAGAAATTCAAGTGGGTTAAGATCTTGGAAATTGGATATTTAGGTCTAATAGGATTATCTAAGATTTGCAATAATGTACCAATTGGATTGAGATGATTTTTAAAACAACTAATAGTTGACTTAACTTCCAACTCTTATGCATAATTTGAGAGTAAGTTAATAGTTCAATTAGGAATTATTTTTACTAGAAGATCAATATTAAGATCAATGATAGAGGCTAATCTACACTTGAGTCAATTATGACATTTTTTTTCCATTTTTTAATTTAAATTCTCTTCAAATTTGTTATACTTATTGTTAACTAAGAAATTAAGAAGTGTGTAAAATTTTAAAGAAGATCAATGATTTAATCAATAGATATTGAGGTTTTGAGACTGCCCTAAAGTTAGTTTAAATTGGTTAGGATTTGTTTTAAGATTGATTAAGATTTGATTTAGGATTTAGGATCTGATTAGCATTGATTTATGATTTAGGATTTAATTAAAGTTGATTTAGAGTTTAGGATTTCTTAAGGATTTCTTTAAGATTCTTATGGATTTTTTTTTTTAGATTTCTTTAGGCTTTCATAAGGATTTCATTTGGATTTCTTTAGGACTTTTTTATTATTTTTTATGATTTTTTTAGAAGTTCTTTATGATTTTTTTATATTTCTTTTATAATTAATTTGAAAATTTAATTGGACTTGCTCAATGTTTGATTATGTTTGTTAAGCTTTAATTGCAATTTATATATGATTCTATTAGAGTTTTTAAGACTTCTTGTTGCAAATTTCTTTTACCTTCCATAGCCAAGTGTTTGGATTATTCTCAAGTAGAACTTCATGTAATACAACAACAATTGTGTTTAGCATGGAGTTTTTGTTGTTGGTAGAGGTGCAAGGCAAGCTGAGCTAGGTTGAGCTTATCCTGTGCATCTTGATAATTCTAGTTGGTCTGTAAGGCCAATTCAACTTCAAAGATTGGTGCAAATTATGTCTTGAATGTGTCATGATGTTGGACTTTGCAAGCTGAAATCTTCACATCACTATATTGTTTAATTGCCTTTAGAACCTCCACAAAGTGGACATTCCAAGATTTGGAGGAATTTTCCTCTATCAACTTTTGTCATTTGGTCAATAGAAGTTTTTCTATGTTGGTTGTAAGTAGTCCAACATCTACCACCATTCTTGTAGTTAATCCAATGTCGCACTTAGTCAGATTCAAAGCCATATCCAAGCATGCATGCATGAATGCTTCATCACTCTGCTCCCAAGCTTGATTCGCTGGAGCTACAGTGGAATCAAGGCATGCGAATCTCACAACATGACCAAGGCCCTGCAGAAGATAACTCTGTTCGTTTATTAGTTCATCCAAATTCAAATCCATCGAGCCAGTCATCCATCCATTCCGGCCCAAGTGCAGGTATTGGGGCTGTGCGGCTTCCGGTAGGGTGAACCCAGGTGGGTCGCAAGCACCGCTTGAGGGGCAGATAATATTCTAGAGTTGGATGCTAGTCCAGCACATAACTGGAGATTAGAGCCAGATACACTCTCTCTCTCCCTCGCACACAGTAAGAGAGGCAGGCAGCTAGATGGCCCCTCTGTAACGTCACTGAAACGTCTTCACCGGGCAACGACTTAGCCCCCAGATGCGGCTTTTCTCCCCCACGCTTCCGGATGAGAGAGAGAGTGTATTGTAGCAGCAGTAGCTGCCGGTTCTAGGGTGGGAATCTCTAGGTGCCTTAACCTGGCGATCGATCGATCGCCGGATGGCCCATATAAGCAGGAGGACATGCTGCAGTGCTCCTCCAGTGCTCATCTCTGCCAGTGTTCCTCCGCTCCCCTTCGTCACACCCTCGCTGCTTCTATTCCGTTTCTGGCCTTGGTCCACGATTCCTGCGTCCTGCACACCAGGCACCGGTAGTGAGTGCGCGTTGGGAGCCTAATTAACAGACCGATTAGTCTCCGAAGTAGAGGATAGCATGTACCCTTGTGTGTCGATCCTCTGTAAGAGGTTGGAGGTGTCCTGGATGGGAGAGGAGGGAGGGAGAGAAAGAGAAAAAAAGAACCTGTCCTGTGAGCATGGTGGACTTTCTACGCAGGTCTGTGGTTGCGATGCGGATTTCGTGATCAAGTCTGCTGCTCACGGTGCTCGGTTCATGATGACCTGTAGATCCATTGTACTGATTCCGAAGGAGAAGACAGTCTCTGACTTCTCGCAGAGTGAGCCTGTTTCTGCAGTACTGGAACGATTGGTTGAGACCACTGGCACTAGGCAAAAACCTTGTTTCTGGTGACTTGGTCTGGGATCGTACAGAGCTGCAGAACGCTTGACATGCGGGAAATCAGAGACAGTCGCTTCCTTTGGTTTCTAATTGTCACCATCAGGCTACGAAGTAACTCGATCAGCTGGTATTCGGAGCTTGACAACCAATTGAAATTATTGTAAGACACGGATGGTGATGGCTTTTTCTGGTTGGCTCTCGCCGTGATGCACAAACTGCAGAGTTGTTGAACTCTGGATTTGTTGAACACCTCGCCCCTGAGATTAGATTTGAGTTAGTAGTCAGGATGCTGGTTAATTTTGCATTGCTCGCTGTCAGACAGGAAGTCCACACACAGATTGTATCCACGAAGCGTCAGCATTTCAAAACAAATTATTCTCATACTGATCTCCTTTTGTGTGACTTTACGATTAATTGCACACAGGTATTTTGTACTTTCTTCGTGCAACTCACTCAGGCCGTTCCAATCTACGCAGGTTTTTCTGACCCACGAATAATTGTTAGGTTTGGTAGGTGAGCAACAGTAAAAATGAATGGAGATAGGTTAATACCGTACCGCTGGCAACCACCACTTCAGGCTTATTCGATTCAGATATGGTGTGGCTGGCTTGCTAAGTACGCCAGCTTGCGGTTTGTTTTGATCAGCCATGGACTTCGTCACACGTATCAATTTAACATCGTGCGGGAAGCAGCTTTTACCGCAAATTAGGAAGAAGAAAATGTTAGGTTTATCGAAACTATCTAGTTGTAGAGTCATGAATGTTCTGCTGCTGAAAGAATAAATTTTCAGGGAACTTTTTTCATACCTAAGAATCATTCCTGTGTTGTGTGGTCTGAACAAGAGTATTTCTGAAAGTACGCTGCCTTCCGAATGTCACATTGATGGATTGCAAACTACCGAATCTGTCAGTTGCAAGTCTTAAATTCACAGAAAAAAACACTGCTGATATATTTTAGTGCCTCCTCAAATTATCGCCTAAATTTCTGATATCTGATGACGTACTGGGACTGGTAATATCATTTCCAAATTGTAGATTATCAGCAGATTGTCGGAATATAGTGTGATCATCTGTCCTCCGTACTACCTCGTATGGCCTTGCAATGTTCCTGATTCAATAAGACTCATCATGATTCTTGCTGTGATCATGGTTTCAGATCTCTCTGGCGATTAGTACCCAACATGTCGAAAAAAATTCATGTGCTGATAACAGTCATCCTTTCGGGGTCCAAATAGCACACAAGGGAAAAACCCTCCACACGCAAGCAAAGGATCTCGTCCAATCATAATCATCATTTGACCTCGAGGAGGCCCAGCTACAACTATCTAGTTAAACCTACTCTGATGGGGAGGTGCTCTCAGTTAAGCAGGAGAGCCAGTGGTGTCCCTCTTCGACAGTAGTCATCGTCACAAGTAGTTTGTGAAAAGATGGAATATGACTGTTCCCCGATGTAACAGTTTTCGCTTCGTCCAGCTAGAGAAGTTCTGAAGCTGAGTTGGCTTCTCACATCAAAGAGGACAATAGTAGCCATACTAGTGGGCTGATACAGTACCAGGAAAGTCATAACAAACGTTGAATGCACACCACATGCAGATTCTGCTGCCTAACAGTTAACACTCAACAACTAGACGAGTACTGACACAACTTTTAACCCTTTTGGATTTTCAATTGCAAGAGATAAAAATTCCTATTTCACTGTTGTGCATGCAAAACAGTTGTGTAAGAAATGGGATACGCAGACACTTATCACTATTGTTGTGGAAGCTGTATTCTTAGCTACTGACGGTAAGTAAAGAATATTTGTTCCAACAAGCCACGCCATTCAAGCTACTGAATATTGTGCTTGTCAATAGATTTCTATTTGAAGAATTAAATTGGCTAGTTCCTACAGCAGCTCATCAAACTTGATTGATCAGCATTTTACTAAACCCGATGAAAGAGAAATGGGAAAGGTTCACCATTCTTTGTCGAAATTTTTTACTGGTATTAAAATAGTATTTTATTTCCACCGACAAATTCCGACTGACGAACTTAACACACCAGCGTACTGTTTGTCGTAGATTTCTTCAAACTTTCTTTTGAATAGTATAGAAAGCCTTGTAAAGTAACGTTGCTTCTGATGAACCTCGAATTGGAGTCACCTAAGTTTGTCCTCCTTGAAGTAACTAAAATGGATACTTCCAGGAATGGTTTGACAAAGACGACACTCCACAACCCAATAAGAGAACAATTCAAGGAATCTTAGTGGCACAAGGAAAATCCAGGTCCACACCTGCGGCGTGGCAAAGCCACGCACCGTGGATGCACACAAGCGGCTCGAGACCATCACGAGATCTACATCGGGAGGAAACGTGCACTTGAGTTCAGTCCTGACATGAGTGACTTGACGGAATTCCAATGATCGCTGTTTCTAGAAAGGAGAGCAGAGTTTGATTAGGCACCAGTTTGCGATGCGAATCCCCCTTCAATCTGACGACAACGGTAACGGAAACGCATCGGCACAACTTCCCAGAGCGTTGAGGACGCGCTACGCTGCACATATTCAATCAATGTTTTGCATCAGCGTAAAACATAAAACGAGGTTTGCATCAGCTACAATAATTCGTGGCGACACGACGATCGGAGCTACAAATAAGTTACTTCAATGCATAAATTCAAGCACATTAGTCGGCTCTATCGCAGTTCTGATAGTTACAATATCGTCTGGACTCCGCAGTCCTCACGACATAGGAGAAGTTACAATCATGCAGACATTTTGAAATTGTTCTTGAAAACTGATAAACTCGCAACTTGTGGAATAGCACAGTAGAATGAGCCTCGGCGCTACAAACTGTGTTTGCCAGTTTGATGCCAATTACAGTGCACGCACCGCTTGGTGTATGTGTCATATTTGGGCACCACGCACCTGAGCAACCTCGAGCATAATGCCCATCTCAGACTAATTGCTATAGCCCGCTGGTGCTCTAAAGAAATAACCTTCACCTCACAGTTTTTCCATGTACAAAGCAAAACCTTTAATCTTCTCTAATTGGAGGTCATTCTTCTCTCCTTTGCCATGCTGCTACAAATTTGCAGATTGAAAATTAGACAAATTGTTGCAATGAAAGTTTTACACTGAGCTTTATCTAAGTATGCATTCTTTTAAGATTGCATTCTTTTCAATACCTTGATGGATTTAGTCAAGTAGGATTCATAAGTACAATTCTATCTAGAAGTACTTTCTCTTGGTTTGTGCCTTTGATGGAAAAAGATTCATGACTTTTTTATGATTTGATTTCATTTTAAAAAGTGTTTATGGTTACATTCAAAAAAAGTGATTGAAAAAGAGTAGCAAAGATAAAGTTTTTATCTTTACAATAAAGATCATGGTTAACCACTATATATGTTAGTAAATTCCAAAATCTTATTTAAAACATAAACTAAAATTACAAAGTCTTTATCAATCAATTTTGATATAATTTAAAGATAACATCAAATATTTGTTATTGATAATGTTGAAAGCAAAATCTTTAGAATAATTTACTATTCAAGCCATTGCATGGAATAATTGATTATTTAAAAAGCATCAAGAACAAAGATTTGGTTATAGAAGAATAAGTCAAGTAATGACAACAACTTCTAAGTTTTCAAAAACTTATTTATTAAGGCTAAAACTAATGCAAATTGATATGGTACGTTTTAAAACATTTACTAAGCAAAAAAAGATTCATTATCATCAAAAAGATTTATGCCTATATTATGGAGAATCCAAATACATTGCTCAATATTTTCTAATAAAACAATGTAATTACAAAATGAAAAGCATAGTTGCCAAAAAAGATGATGTATTGGAAAACAAGTTTCTCCAACTAGAATAGAAATTATGCAGCTATAATCATATGCAACACCTAGTAAAGATGTTATTTTCTCCTTATATCATACTTTTTTAGTAGGTCTAAAATCTCGTTAGATAAGTAAAAATATATAAGATTAATGCATCCAAATCCTTATTAGTAGATATGAGAGCTTTTATGCATGCTGCAAAAGAAGGGTCATATTTTGTTATATATGACAAGCCCATTTCTGATTGTAGAAAGATACTAAGTAGTATTCTTAGCCAATATCAAGATTTTTAAGATATTTTTTTTATAAAAAAATGTAGATATTCTTCTAAAGCATCGACCTTATGATTATTCAATTGATTTATAAGAAAGAATTCAACTACCATTTAGATTAATATATAACTTATTACAAAATAAATTGACTCCACTAAAAGAATATATTCACAAGAATTTAGCTAAAAACTTCATACGCCATTCTTAATTTCTTACAAGAGCTATTATTTTATTTGTGAAGAAAAAAAATAATTTTTGTAAATATATATAGATTATTAGAAACTTAAAAAGATTACTATCAAAAATAAGTATCTCCTACCTTTGACTTTAGGACTTTTTGGCCAAAGCAATGAAGCAAATATCTACACAAAAATAGATCTACAAGAAGCATACAACTTAGTCTGCATCAAAAAAAGAGATAAGTAGAAGATTACTTTTTAAGTTAGGTATAGATATTTTGAATATAATGTCATGCCTTTTGGACTCACAAATGCATCAACTATTTTTCAACATTCTATGAATAATATTTTTTGTGAATTTCTTGATAATTTTCTTATTTTTTTATTTATATGATATTCTAATCTATTCTAAAAATATAAAAGAATATGAACTTCATATTCATTGTGTATTACAAAAACTTAAAAATACACAATTGTATACTAAGATGAAAAAATATATATTCTATACTTCTCAAATTGACTTTTTAGGATACATTATTTCCAACAAAGGGCTAATAATGGATCTAAAGAAAGTCCAGACTATCATAGATTGGAAGATTCTAAAAATAATTAGAGATGTATAATATTTTTTAAAATTTACCAATTTATACTAGATCTTCATCATGAATTTTTTTAAAATTGTGACTCTTCTTATATGCTTGACATATAAAAACAAACTTAAGTAGAACAAAGAAGTTGAAGCATTTTTTGAAATCTTAAAGATAGCATTTATTTTTATACCAATCTTATATTGTGTTGACTTTTTAAAGGTATTTTTTGTGAAAATAGATGCATCAAACTTTAACATGGATGTTGTTTGTCACAAATAAGAACAAATGATAAGCTTTATTTGATAGCTTTTCATTCTAAGAAATTTTGGTTCTCTTATAAATTTTGGTCTTCTTATTTATGATATCAAGAATAATTCTTCTAAATCTCATGATACTTCTAAATTCAAATTTAAGAATAATCTATTCTATTTTAAAGAATAATTAAATTTTTTAAAAAGCAAAGCACAATTACATGTTCTTCAAGCTTTTGATGAGTATCAAATACTCAAATATTTTAGATACAATAAGATTTAGGAACTAATATTAAAAAAAAAATTGGTGATCTCAAATGTGAAAGGAAATTAAAGACTTTGTACAATCATGTGATATTTATTCAAGATCAAAAATTCCTTGTCATCAACCTTATAGACTTCTTCAGCCATTACCTATTTCGAAACAATCATAGTCTTCTCTTTCTAAAGATTTTATTATGCATCTTTCAATCTTATATTTGTATGATTCTAAATTTGTGATAGTAGATTGTTTTATCAAGATGGTATATTTTTTACTATACAAAAAATCTATCTCAAGTCAAAAAATAGCTAAGCTTTTTTTTGATAACATCTATTGTTATTATGGATTGCCTAAAGATATTATATTAAATAAAATATTTTAATTTACATCAAGATTTTAGAAAATTATTTTTAAGATTCTAAAGGTAGATACAAAGCTTTTTTTGACTTTCTATCTTTAAATTAATAGGCAAATGGAATACGTAAATCATATTTTGGAGAAATATTTAAGGTGTACCATCAATTATCATTAAGATAATTAGACAATTCTTTTGGTAGAATTTGTGTATAATAATTTGATATATTTTTTACTTAATAAATATCTTTTTTTATTAATTATAATTATCATCTATGACTTGATATTTTTGACTTTCAAAAAGTGATAATCTTATAACAAAAAATTTAGCAAATTATTTATGAAAGCTATATGTAACAATGAAAGTGTAATTAAAGGAAGCTCAAAAATAACAAAAGTTCAATGTGAATGCTTATTGCAAGAAACAACCATAATTCAATGAAGCTCAAAATTTATAGCCACTTTGTTGTAATATCAAGATTACTTGTCTTTATGATAAGTTTAACTATCATAGGCTTAGACCAATTTCTATTTTCAAATACGTCAATTTTGTTGCTTATTAATTACATCTAGCAGAATTTATGAAGATTCATTTTGTATCTTATGTATTTTTTCTTAAGCCATATAAGATAATGAATATCTCGAAAAGAAAGCAAATGCTACCTCTTTTTATAAAACTAGATAATAATCAAGAGTTTAAGGCAAAAGAAGTTTTAGATTTAAGGCAACACTAAAATAGGTTAGAATATTTTATTCATTAATTTAGATATGATATTAGTAAATACACATAAAAGCCAACAAAGAATCTTGCAAATGCAGCAAAGAAGGTTGAGGCTTATCATTGATGACATCCATCAAAATTAAGATAAAGAATAACAAGTCTTTGATATAAAAGAAACAAGATCCAAAGAAAATAGCATTCTATCTTCTATTCTTATTTCTAACTTTTGTATCTTTGTGATGCT